TCCCTTAGGTCGCCCGGCTGTGGGGCATGCAGAAGAACCGTCCAGCCATGAACTACGACAAGCTCAGCCGCTCTCTGCGCTATTACTACGAGAAGGGAATCATGCAAAAGGTACAAAAGAGTTTAAATGCCACCAATTTTCCAGGCTCTGATTGATTCATTTGTGTCTGTGGTGTGTCCGAAACCTTCAGACTAAACTCACATGTTCAGCTTTGTACAAAAAAAGACTAGTTTTTCCCCTTAATTAAGTGTCTATCTGTAAAGAAAACAGGTTTATTTGTAGATTTTCAAAGTATTTATGTAAGAAAGTGTTTCTGATGAGTTCGGATGTCTTTAAAAAGGTGGGAGGGGGGAGTTTACAGCTGCTACAGGGATGGTCTGCGTGTGTGGTCACTGAAAAAAAAAAAAACGTGTTTGTAGCATCTATGAATCATTTGTGAACATTTTAGTGACCACAGTCAGAGAGAAACTGGTTCACTGTAAACCGTGGCACTTTGAACTTTATAAACTGTTCCACATTGAGGTTTCTGTTTAAAGGTGGAATCTGGGCCCAAAGTCTCAGCAGCGTCTCAACGTTAGACTGGTTTTATTTTTGACTGGAATGGAGTTGTTTATCAGACGTTTTGGGGCAGGTTTAAAACCTAAAGTTTACTTCGATACAGTACCAATAACCCGATTAGTTAGGTCATTTCATCTGTTATGTTCTCCCAAAAGCCGTCTCATAAATCGTGAAATGAAAAAGAAAGATCAGAGAAGAAGGAATAACTTAAAAAACAGAATGAAAAATAATTTTAAAATGACAGAAGCCAAAGTTTTATGTAAAATTAGGTTTATTCACAAACAATTACAAACTAAAAAGAATGTGGGTGGGTTTTTTTTTTTGTCGTCCTGGAAGAACCATTTGTCTTTTCTGGCACACAAAAAATAAAAGAAATCAAATACTCAAGAGAATAATAAGAAATGTGTAATATAAGACTAATAAGCTTAACCAAAATCATTCTTAAGATTTGTATTCATTTTACATTGCCATAAAATACTAAATATTTGATAGGATCCTGGAGATTCTGTCTTTTTTTTTTTTATCTCCTGCTGCGTAAGGGCTCCTTCTGAACTCAGAAGCGGTGGTTTGATGTTACCTGACCAGGTGTGTTAATGGGACTCTCTCTCTCTCTCAGGTGGCGGGGGAGCGCTACGTTTACAAGTTTGTGTGCGAGCCCGAGGCGCTCATCTCCCTGGCCTTCCCCGACAATCAGCGGCCCAGCCTGAAGGCCGAGTTCGAGCGCTACGTCAACGAGGAGGACACGGTGCCCCTGTCCCACCTGGACGAGGGGGTGCCCTACACCCCGGAACAGGCCCCCCAGAACCTGGGCCCCCAGCCCTACTCCAAAGGCTACATGTACTAAAAAAAAGCCTGCACCCACATTCAGAAATCCTCCTGTTGTACCAACCCATCCTCATACACACCCTGAACCCTCCCCCCCCAGCCCCCTCCCACCCCACCCACGCACCTCTTGCACATGCCCACCCCATCCACTTGTGTATATATAAGGCTATGGTGTTCTCGTTTTAAATTAATCTCAATAGGGATTTTTGTTTGTTTTTAAGAGCTGCATTCCTCTCACATCTGAGGCCTATTCAATACTTAAACATGACTGTGGTTGAAGAGATTGCTTAATAATAAATACCCATAATACCCAAACCTGTGTTTTTCTTCAGAGTCTCACCTAAAACTAACTTTTTAAAAACTTTTATTTAATAAAGGTGGAAAGCATTGGCCTTAACTAACAGAAAATCTGGTTTATTAACTTGTTTGTTGTCCTGAATGTTCCCCCCCAAAAATTGGCCAATTAAAGTTTAATCATAAAATTTGTCACCCTTGACCTTTCAGTCTTGGGGACTCAGGAAATCCTCCAGCTGTGGGCAGACGTGCCTGTGTGTGGTCAGCGTCTCTGTTATAAAGCTAAGGTTTGGTCAGTGGTCACCAGGACGACATCCATCTGCCAGAGATCTTATCCCACATAAGCAAAACAAGACTAATGTTATGCTCATTTCCTTAACTGTACATTTAATCTTTATAGAAACCGTGTTTCTGCCTATAAAAGTCTGTACTCAGAAATCTGAGATTTGTTAGCTTCCGATTACATTTGAAGAAGACCTTCAGTTTGTGGAGCGAAAGCCTTTCGTAACACCCCCGGACCCCCACAGACATGAGAAAATGTGGCATTTAATGAAAAATATTTAATGGTTTCTCTGAGTCTAAGACACACTGACGTGTTTCTGGTTTACAAAATATCTTCTGGTGTGACAGTAAAACATAAAGAGGCTCCCAAGTGGAAATAAACAGTGTCCACTCACAGATGGGGGGGTGACAGAATCCTGCCTGAACTCCAACAAACCGAAGACTTTAGTACATTTTGAGCTGGAGCGGGGCTGGGTCACCTCCCACCTGCAGCGCGGCGGCGCGCTAACGGCGCGCTAGCGGCATGCTAACGGCGCCTGAAGGCGCGGGAGATCCTCCAGGCGTTGGGCTCCTCGTAGCGGTTGTAGAGCGGCTCCAGGCGCTGCTGCTTCTTCTGCTTGCTGAGGCGCGTGGGGTCGGACACCTTGAAGAAGGCCGGCGCGAACTCCACCAGCCAGCGGGGGTCGATGGTGGTCACCTCCCGCATGTACTCCTTGGTGGTCAGCACCAGCTCGTGGTACACGACCCTGCAGAGAGACGGAGGTTAGCACGCGGAGGTTAGCACGCGGAGCCCGGCACGGTTCGGCTCTCACCACTCGGGCTGGCGGTTGAACAGGGCGCTGGACGGGTGGATGTACACCACTTGCTGGTCGATGAGCGTCCTGTAGCCCTCCTGGGGGTCCTTCTTGGCGGCGTTGCGGAAGAAGCCGCTGCAAATGGCCTTCTGGACTCGCACCGTGGCTTTCCCGCAGGACACCACGTCCAGCTTGTGTCTGTGGGGAGAGGAGGGCGGTGAGGACGGATACGTGATTTATAGTGTGTGGAGACACTATGCTAATAACAGCGGACAATTTTTTTTTTTTTAAAAACGGGAGAATGACTAAACACAGTTGTACATCTTTCTTTTTTTATATTATTAACAAGTGACTTTTGGTGGCAGGCAGCTAAATTGTGACGGAAGTTAGCTGTAAACTAGCTTGTAAAGCTAGCACAGACTAGGAGTTGACTTCAACTTTAGCATTTTCGGCCATACCTGTCCATGATGCCCAGCATCTGCTTGCGGATGTCCTGGGCGCGGCGCAGCGAGCGGGCCTGGATGAAGTTCTCGTAACACCAGGGGTTTGAAAACTTGTTGTTCTTCCAGGAGTTGTAGACGGCCAGCAGGGTCAGGTGGTCGCCCTCCGGCTGGTGGAACTTCGCCTTCTTCTGGTCGGCCAAAGCCTGTTTGTCCTATAAAACAGATTAAACGGAGCCACTGTGAGCGCTTTTACTTTAAAACATCATCATTCTGGGAGAGGAAAGCGGCATCGTTTTACTCTTCCTGTTATGTTTCTTTGTGCTGCAGTTCATTTGCATGAAAAGTGTGTTTTTATGAATAAAGACTGATTAAAGGATGTGAACAGATAAACTGACCATATGGATACTTTCTATGGAACATAAACAATGTTAAATCTGCTGTTAATAATAATAAAGAAATAAAACTTTCATTTTCATGAGTCCTTTTTTAAAAGCCTTTTATGAGAACTTACAAAAGCAATTTAGATGCTCTTCTCTATTTCAGTAATGAGCTTAATAAGCAGCCGTGCAGCTCCATTCTGATGAATTTACAGTTAGAAACAGACCAAATTGGTGGAAAACTGCTAAACTTGCTCAGAAATTGGTCGTGTCTGGGGATTTTAACAGAAAACTAAATGAGATTGAAATCCTGTGACCCCTTCAGAGCCTGAATAGGTACCTTTGGCCTGTAGAAGACGTTCTGCACAGACAGCATGGACACGATGGTGAGCATCTCTTCGCTGCAGCCCAGATGGACGGACATGATCAGCATCTTACACAGCATGGGCTCCAGAGGAAACTCTGCCATCTGAGAGACAGGAAGTCACCAAAAAAACAACAAAAATCAATCATATAAAGATAAATCAGTCCCAGCTTGTTGGGGAGTTTAAACCACAGAACAGAAATCTGGTTAATGTGAAAAATAAATACTGGGCTATAAATCTGATAAGGAACACCAGACATGCTCAATAAAAAAAAGAAAGAAGAAATGACATTTTAAAAGCCTCCTTACCCTTCTGCCCAGTCGTGTGAGTAGGCCTTCGTCATCCAGAGCCCCCAGAGTGTACAGCTGCTCCATGGCTGTGATCAGAGTCTCCATTGGAGGAGCGTCCATGAAGTCAAAGGACAGCAGGTCGTTGATCCCCATCGCCTGGCAAAAGTTCAAAAGAAAGTTCACACACAGTCTCATACAGGTCGCGTTTTGGGCGGAGCGCCCGGCCCGAACCCACCTTCAGAGACAGCACGGTGCTGGCCAGGTTGGTCCTCTGGATCTCGGGCACGTTGGTGGTCAGCATCTCGTCCCTGTAGGCTCTCTCTGTGTACAGGCGGTAGCACTTCCCCGGGCCCGTCCGGCCGGCGCGGCCCGCCCGCTGCTTTGCCTGAGCCTGGAATCCAAAAGGCAGGGTGGGTTTATCTCCGCCTCTTCTATCTCTATCTCTGCCTCCCTTTGTGCCGAGGGGGGGGACGCCGCACCTGTGAGATGGGAGTCACCACCAGCTGGTCGATGCCGGTCTTTGAGTTGTACACTTTCTGCTTCACAAAGCCGGGGTCTACCACGTAATAGATCCCGTCGATGGTCAGGGAGGTCTCAGCGATGTTTGTGGCGATGACGACCTGAAGAACACGACCATTTGGATCAGTTTAAAACACACAAACGACCACTTTAGGGCCATTTACGCTCATTTCCAGAGATTAGTTGACAGTAATGTGAGTCAGAGTGAGACGGTGAAGGCACCTTCCTGCTGCCTGGGGGGGCGGGGTCAAAGATCCTGGTCTGCATCTCACTGGGCAGCGCGGAGTAAACGGGCAGGATGATGAGTTCAGGAACGTCGGGGCCCAGCGACTTCATCCTCTCGTAGAGGATCTCGCAGGCGGTGTCGATCTCCTCCTGCCCGGTTAGAAAGACCAGGATGTCGCCTGCAGGGAAAGGCCGAGGCTATGAGTCCCGCCCACTCCTGTTCCTGGGCTTATATGTGTGTGTGTGTGTTTGTTTGTGTAGAAGCGCACCCGGAGGCTCGGTCAGATGAATCTGCATCACGGTGATGAGGCTGGCGTCCAGATAGTCCGTCTCGGGCTCTTTGGTGTAAAGGACCTCCACCGGGTAGGTCCTGCCCGGGATGGTGAAGATGGGCGCCTCGTAGAAGTACTGGGAGAACTTGACGGCGTCCAGCGTGGCGGACGTCACGATCAGCTTCATGTCCGTGCGTTTCTGGACCGTCTGGAGGCAAAGGCAAAGGCTCGTCTCCCAAACCCGCAAACGGAAAAAGGAAAAGGAGGCGGGCCCGTGCCCTCCGGCCTGCTCACCTTCTTGAGGAGCCCGAACAGCACGTCGGTGTGGATGGTCCTCTCGTGGGCCTCGTCCAGCATGATGATGGCGTACTGGCCCAGCTCCGAGTCGATCAGGCACTCTCTCAGCAGCATTCCGTCCGTCATGTACTTGATGACCGTTTCTGGGCTGGTGCAGTCCTCAAAGCGGATGGTGTATCCCACCTGGAACCCACACACACACCGTTACAAACACAGGCCCTGGCCCCCGCTTAAACCGACGGCTCCACGCAGACGGACGCGTCACCTCTTGTCCCAGACAGCAGCCGTACTCCTCCGACACCCTCTTGGCCACCGACATGGCGGCCACACGGCGGGGCTGCGTGCAGCCGATCTTGCCCCTGGTGGTGTAGCCCGCCTCCGCCAGGTACTGGGTGATCTGCGTGGTCTTTCCAGAGCCCGTCTCCCCGATGACGATCAGAATCTGGTTGTCGTGGACGGCCTGTGAGGGATCGACACGGAAGGTGGACTTTAACAAGCCGCTCGGTGTGAAACGGTCACTGAAACCCCCCCCTTTTGCATTTTTAATTTGGAAAGAACCTGGATGAGCTGCTCCTTCAGCTTGTAGATGGGGAGGCTCTCCCTCTGCTCCAGAATGGAGAGCTGGGTCTTCTTTCCATAGGAGGCCTTGTTCCCTCCAAAAGCGTGCTTCTTCCACTCGGGGATGTCGTTGGGCATCATGCCAATACCCCGCATGTTGGCAGCAATCTGCCTGCCGTCAACTGGGGGAGAGAAAAAAAACTTCAGTTTCCTTCTCCACAACAAACTAGGCAAGCTTTAGTGTTTGTCTTTGCATAGTCTGGATCCCAAATGAGGACATATAGGAAACACTGAACCATGACAACACGACTCCATCCGCTCAGACGGGGGGGGGGGCTACAGGAAGCCAGATAAGCATCTCCAGGACTGGCAGGCCTGAGGGGGCCGTCTGCCAGTGTGGAGGAAGTCTCATGTCTCCCTACAGCTGGAGCTAGCTACGCTGTTAAATTAAATCTTAAACCCTTTGAGCTTACGAGGAAAGAGCAAAGATAACGGTCATTTTACAGTGAAATCGGAGGAAGTTGGAGATGATAAATTAGCCAATTTGAATTTTTCTGCATCGGTATCTGCAGCTTAGACGGGACTTAATGAGTGGATGGGACGGATTCCTCACCGTCCGGCAGTGGGTCGACCCAGTGCTTGTTCAGCCCCATGGGGATGGAGTCCATCTCTGCCTCCCGGGCGGCCTGCTTCAGCTCCCGCCGCTCCTTGGCCAGAGCGCTCTGCATCATGGCCGCCTGAGACAGCGAGCCGTCGGGATTCTGTGGGGAGAACAGCTCAATAAGTACAGAGCCTTAAATCCTTTTCAAAGCTCACAGCCTATCGACTTAAAGAGAAGAAACAAAGCAGAAAACACCAGGTGATGGTGCTCTCCGGGGGTCACTCAGGAGAATATCATTTTCAACTGACAAATAAACTGAGTTTATTAATCATGTTTTTATAATAACATTTTCTTATATATCTATATATATTTTTTATTGTTTCATGATATGATTTCTACTTACCTGTTAAAAAAACAAATGAGAAATGACCATATGTCTGATTCATTTAAAGAAAAAGCCCTTAGCATACCTTAACAATCTTTACAGGGCTCATGTCCATGCTCTGTTTGGTGTGTCCTCTCAAAAATGGAGGTTCCTCTTCAACCAGCTCAATTTCCAAATCTTCATCTACAGACAAAGGATTCACAAATCAGCCATTTGTTCAGAAGGACTCAGGATTAAAACGAGAACGAATGGCAGTAGGGAGACGAAGCGAGTCAGTACCCTCTTCGTCGTCAACTTTAGGAAGGATCCCCGTCTCGTCATCAAAATCAGGGAATTCTTCTTTGGACAGCACGTTGGCAGCGATCATCTGAAAGCAGACGGACAACATGAGCACCCTTTCAGAGCACCAATCCGATGCCTTCAAAACTAAAAGGGAAACACTAGCACCCAGATGGCCCACAGCTGTAAGCGCCCACCTGTTTGATCTCCCACTTCTCCGGGTCAGAGATTTTGGTCAGCCGCTTGCGCTCCAGGGTGTCGTCCTGCTCCAGCTCGGGGGCGTGGCCCAGGTTCAGGTTGCTGGGTCGGTCGGGGTTCCTCATGGTGATTTCATCCCCTCCATCAGGGCCCACGTTCCTTCTCCTGTTGGGGTTCAGGTCTTCGCCTGTCTCCTGGTCCACATCCTGACAAAGAATAAAAAACAGACAAGAATTTTAGAATTGTGCTAAATCACCCCTGTGGGAAGGGCTGGGACAGGACTTCCTCCTTTAATTCAATAGAAACTGCGTTCTCACCTTCATGCTGAGGCTGGTCTTGGAGCCAGTGAATGAGAGCACCTTGATTTTGACTCTCTGGCCTTTGCTGACAACGTCGGCCACGTTGGCCACGCGGCCCTCTCTGCGCAGCTCGGAAATGTGCACCAAACCCTCCCATCGTTTTCTAAACAGTCGGGAGTAAAGCAGGCACAATTTTATTAACCATATAAAGTATAAAATTAAAGATGTTTACATAAGTCTATGTACTTAACATAAACTGGAGCTTTCAAAACATAAACAAAATAAATAAATCAGCTGTGTTAAAGCACAGCTGACACTGACCTTAGTCCCTCCAGCTGAACAAAGCACCCAAACTGCATGATGCTGGTGACCTTCCCGTTGTAGATGTCCCCGACAGAAGGTTCCTCTGGAGGGGGGCGGTCCACATGTTTGTCCTTCCACCGGTCGGCGTCCCTGTCTTGGTCTTTTCTGGGGCTCGGCGATCGCTCGGACCAACGGGAGGATTTCTCTCTCCTTTTGCCCCGGTCCCGGTCTCTGTGCCGATCCCGGTCTCTGGAACGGGACCTGGACCTGGAGCGTGATCGGTGTCTCCTCCTCCTGTCCCGGTCTCTGTCCCGGTCCCGGTCCCTGTCTCTATCTCTATCTCTATGTCTGTCTCTGTCTCTGCTCCTGCTGCGACTCCGGCTGTGACGCTTCCCCTTTTCTGATCTACGAGAGAAGCACACAGATGTTTTTATTTCCGCAATGAAATTGAAATATTGTTTTCACAGTTTTGTCGTGGAAACAAAGGTTGTCTTACTTGCTCTTGCTCCCTTTAGAGTCTGTCGTGCTCACACTGGGCATAAACATCTCCAGCTCTTTCATTGCGTCCGCTGCTACTTTCACATCGTCCTCATCAAGCAGCTTCTAAGTGATTCAAACAACAAGCAATAATTATTTACTTTCACGTTATGATATTTATAATGGACCTTTGTTAGTTGATATTGATAATGTTGCTATGGAAACACTTGTTCAGAGTACAATTTCCTGCTGCAATGCTTTTACGCACAATAACATATATTTAATTATAAAGTGTTTGTATTTGGGATATACCTTTGGGACTGGATCATTTTCTCTACACAGTGCAGGAAACATCTCCTTCAGCTTGTCCTTTTCCGATTTTGGCTTGACCAAAGCCTCAGAAGCTGAAAGAAGTGATCATTTGTTATTTGAAGTTCTGATTGGGAGGCATACACGTTAATCCCTGCTATCAAATTGTTGCAAACAGATTCTTTTAAAGACCAGTTTTAACTGTAATTGACATCCATTAATCCTTTAGCAAGAATGATAATGATCTGGGATCTCAGTATCGACTTACCTTTACTGGATGAAGCTTTGGAAGGGGGTCGCATGGTCTGAATAAGCCGAAGCAAGTTACCGATGAGAGAATCCTACAACAAATGGCAAAAATGTTGCAGAATTAGACGATACCATGTGCTGATAAACTGCTGATTAATGTCGCTGTTAAAATATTGAGGGACTTACAGTGAATTCGGCTCCATTTTCGAGTAAAAGAGCTTTGAACCCATCGAAACTCGGTTGTTTTTCAGCAAGGCTGATCACAAATTCCGCTGGGAAACATTGAAACGTAAAACGTCAGCTCGCGTATTAGCATTGAGTTAAGCTCACTCAACACGTTAAACAAACACAACGGACACACAGAATGTGCCATTTCAAACTGAAAGTTCAATTAAACTGTTCTATACAACAGTAAATCCATTTTCAACTGCTGGAAAACGTGCTAATTTACAGAGTCTTCAGCTAATACCATTGCTAGCTAGTAGCAACTCGTTAGCGAGCAAGTTAGCTTTTTGTTGCCACTCTTAAGGTACAAATACTCACATAAATCTTTGTCATTTATCCCCAGATGGTTGTCAAGTTCCGTGCAGACTTTCGACACCAAAGACAGATACTCGAGCTGAGACAGCTCGTCAACTCCCCCGTCTGCCATGTTCTCCACGAGTGTTGTTATTGTTCACAGAACGTTGAAGCCGGCAGACATATTGGATTTGGGCCACTTCCTTTTCCGCCTCTAACGGAACTACGTCAGACATCACGAGCCTTAACACTGCTGGCCACAAGATGGCGCCGAAAGTCCAAATGAAATATTTAAACTCTTCCTCCGTGAAGACGTGTGAGGTGTTGAGGCCACGGGGACACATAGTTCTCTCTTTATGTAAATCACACACACTCAAACGTATCAAATAACTCAGCATAATAAAATGTAACTTACAGGTGGGGAACAGCAGTCAAGTGCTGACAGAAAATTGCATGTACTGTACAAAATGCTATATGTTTTACAAAAGGAGGTGTACTCAGAATAGAGGAGTTTTTTTTAAAGATTCTTGAGGGGAAGCGAGGGTTGTCTCTTGTGGGTTGGGATTTCAGTACTAGGCAGCATTCCTGACTTGAGTGTAGCGGTGGTTAGGGAGCATAGGCCTGCAGACTAGGCAGGCATTATTGACTCTAACTTGTGGTAATCATGTAACAATGCAAACAATCCATCTAGAGATTTTCACTCTTACTGTTTGCTAAACTTATAGAGAGGTTCAGGCAAAAGATAATCAAGACGGGTAGCCTACTGAGTCAGATATGATAGAAAACTCCACAGAACATGGAGCCATGACTCTCAGGCCTCTTGCAATCCCAGGGAACCAGTCGAGTCGGCATTTTCTTGGAGTTTATATCCGTTGGACGGAGTTGAGTCGGGAAGCAGGCTGAAAAAGCCTTTGCGTTTGAATTGTGAGCCATCGATGTGTGTTTTTCCCTTATCCACCTCAGAGGTTGTTTTTTAGGGCATGCGCAAATGTTTACACATTTTGGAGACTTTGGCACAGGCAGGAAAACATCCACCGCGTTCGCCAATTTATAGCCGCTGTATTCTGGCTGAAGATCCCTCTTTTGCCCTTGGCCCGCATAGAGAGAGCCTCACCTGCCAAATAAAGCCCAGTGACCTAACACAGTTGTAGCAGTGGTTTGAAGAATTCGGGTTAGAGAAAGCCTTCTGCTTTCAACATCCTCCCCTGCACACCAAAGCTGGCCCCATCTTTTCCACGCTCGACTGGCCCGCCGCCATGACACCAACCTCTATGCACACATTTGCATGAAATGTGCTCCTGTGGGAGTTAATCTTTGCAGCCAGGCACGACAGCTTTCCAGAAGAGTCGGGGCCGTTATATGGCAGAAAATGAAAACCATGGATCGGGTCTGAGGTGTCCAACAGTCCCCTTTTAGGTAATGAGCACATACAGTGATGTTGGCCATGCATAATATGAAAGGAGTCCTGCCAGAGAAAGAGTTGGGAAAGAACAAGAATAGTCAACAACTTTAAAAGTTGATTAGTTGCAATGATTCCTCAACAGGATTGTAAAAGTTTACCTCGCTTTGACCCTTCCCAAAGTTACTACATATAGGAGCAATTATTGTTTGTACTTCCCGAGAGATTTATCTCCTCGGACTCTTGGAAATACTTTGCTCAGACAAAAGTGAAGCACAATAAATCAGAAGTACTCTTTGTATCTCTTTATATGCATTGTCTGAGGCATAATATATGGCTTTGGTCACACAGGGATTAGATGGGAGCCCGTGCTTGTGTGCTGTAGAACAGAAACCTCCTCAGCTCATTTACCCTCCCGCGCATTCACAGACACATTCTATTCTGTTTACTTTGAACGCTCTCCATTTCTGGAAGCGCAGATAGCTGCGTCTTCACCGCCCTCTAATTAGATTAAATTCGGCCTTCATTACCCTCTAACTTATTCAACCCACCAGTACTAAATTCCTGATGAAAATGCCTGACGTTTTATGATTTTAGGACGAACATAATGTACCAGAAGAACACCCCATAATGGGAAATCATTATTCTTGCTCCACGTAATTGACATTTTTACGTTTCTTGTTGCTTTTACAGCTCACATTTGACATTTTCACGTCGTCCTGCAGTACGCTGACTTAGCTGTAATGGATTCTGGTGGAGAATCTTCGCTCTCAAGAGGTTGTTTTCCCCCAAAAAACTCACATAATCAGTTCCAAGTTTAATACAGCCCAGAATGTATTTAGCCTATCTAATGGGAGCTCCCATGGTAAATGTAAAAATGTTCCCATTTTAATGGGATTGTTGAGAATCTAACCATCACTCCTCTGCAAAGACTTTCTTGAAGTCTGTCTTCAGGGATTTGCTCCCATTCTGCCACAAGAGCATCAGTGAGCTCTGACATGAAAGTTGGTTGTAATGTCACGACTCCCGGGGGTGTCGGAGGGTTTTTAGCCTCAAAGCTAATGGAACTGGGTTTGTGTGCTCAGCTGCCGTCGTGTTGAAACAGGAAAAGCTCCTTTTTCCTCAAACATCTGAAACATAGTTGCGGCATTACGGAAATAGTTTAGATAGGAATTTTATCCTCGAGCTGCTCCTTCTTTCGAGCATATGGTGGTTTGTGGGTCAGCAGGCGGTCCCATCTGCCCTCAGTTTCAGGCAGGTGTGTGAACCCTGCTCCAGAATCCCGTTAGAATTTGGCCAAAAAAACCTAGAAAAAAATGATCGAGGTGGACAAACGATTTAGGGAAAAGCCTAAAAACTACTGGCTTTAAAGTGAATTCTGTATTCAAGTAAAAAGCTCTATTTAACTAACAACGGTGTCGAAATTTAGACTTCCAGTTCTTTGTATTAACTACTCAGAAAAGCATTTTGATCCGTCTAAAAAGGCATTTGTTTTCTTATCTTCATCATTTGGGAGAACGAGATTAAATTATAACCTGAACAGTCTTAGTGGAAATAGGCTCGGTACTAAAGGAAAGCATAACATTAGGTTAGCATGCAGAGAAACAAGTGGAAAAGCTAATAAAGCATCCTTCTCCGAGGAAAGTGCACAATCTGGGAAGATAATTGGATAATTTGACACGCGACCGGCAAAAATTGGAAACACGTTTGAGTGCCCTTTTTTAAAAGTATTTTGCCGTTTAATTGTTGCCTTAATGTATTCTTACAGCGGTTTGTTTTGCAGCCTTTGTCAGAAGTCTCCTCAGACACTTAAATCTAAAGAGTCTGTCAGAGAAAGACAGTGTGGTGCTCAGCGTTGATTGGAGGGCTTGTTTGTTTGCACGCTGCTGAGGCTTACACAATCTATTTATCATCTCCCTGTCAACGCATGCAGCTTCTTCCCTCTGCCACAATCGTAAAAAATATTAAAATAACTAGCTCTCCCCTCCCTCCCTCTTCCACGATTCTGTTTGTGTGTTTCAGACGTGGAGGGGGGGGCTGCTACAGGTCAGCTTTCTGAATGCTGCAGTCCTCACTTGACCTGATTCGGTGGAGAGCGGGAGAGTGTGAGGAAAGGGAAGCGGGTGAGCGCACGTTACGTAACGGGCCTGTGACGCTCACACGTCCCCGCGGTGGACGCAGCACACGGCCGCCCTCCCGCCAGTTCTGGAGGAGAAAACAGAAACAGCTACTGTTGCTGCTGATCCAAAACCTCTCTGACGGCGCACAGAGGGTATTTCCCGGTGTTAGAATTAAGCTATAACCATTCACTTTAGCATAATATTCTAAAACATGATCTATTTCCATGATAGATTCTCTTATTACTTTCAAAACTATTCTTTTGTGTCAAATTCAAAGGTTATCTGCAATAATTAGGAGATGGCCAGTTCATGTCAGGGTTAGGGTTAGTAAATAAGTCAAGTCAAGTCAAGTCAAAATGTATTTATAGAGCACATATAAAATAACTGATGTTGCCAAAGTGCTGTACAGGTAATAATAAACATAAAAAGCAAAAATAGTTTACATACATATATGTGATTTTAATGTAAAATAAAGAGGTAAAAAGGTGCTCTACCTCAACCTAAGGTTCAAATGTTAAAAGCCATGTCAAATAAATGAGTTTTTAAAGAGGACTTAAACACCTCTACGGTCTGGGTGGATCTTATATTAAAAGGCAGGCCATTCCAGAGCTTTGGAGCGGCCATACTAAATGCTCGATTGCCTTTTGTCCCCAATCTGGTTTGAGGAACCAACTGGTCAATAGGCATTCAGTCGTGTCCAGTCCTTTTGCGTCCTTTATAATTACTCACTTTAGCATAGTATGCTATAGTATCTATGCTATAGATCTATGTAAATGACTGATTGTCATATTCCTTATAGAACCGTAACTTTGTGTTAAAGTCTCTGGCTGTGTCCAAAGACTCTGTTTTCTTTCTCTGATAGCATTAGATCCACACCATTTGTTACCACATTTCAATGTTATCTGCATTAATTAGGACCTGGCCTGTTCATGTCAGGGTTATAGGGTTAGTAAGTAACTGGCTAATAAGCACTCAGTAGTGTCCAGTCCTTTTTAGCCCAGGAGACAAATACCCATGACACACGGAGCTCGGGGCTCTTTGCCAAGTGAGACCTGATAGAGAGGATTTGTCTGTTAGAGCCCAGCGCTGGAATACTTTGCCTGTGACCTAATAAATGACATTTTTTTACACTTTTGATCTACTCTGGTTAATTCTCAGGTTTCCAACTAAAGAATCGGGGATCGGAGAAGCTGGAATTACACTCTTCTGCTTCACCGTCCACATGATCCAAACATATGCACAAAGTTATGTCTGGCTGTTTTTTTGCCAGCACACAGTGTCCAGTTTTGCAGAACAAGTGCGGGGACTACACACAGCAGCCCATATGCTCTCTGAGTCTGACCACTACTGTGTGTCCACTGCTGACACACTCAGGAGAAGAGGCCAGGGCTGCTCCGGTCAGGAGGAGGAGGAGGTCCTTCTCTGCTCTCTGAGATCCGAGCGCGCACCGCAATTGACAGCACAGCTGGCTGCAATGTTCTCCGGCTGCCGAGTGGAAAATTCCCGCTACGCCAGAGCAGGGAGCAGAAAGAAACAGCCAGCATGACACACACACACACACACACACACACACACACACACACACACACACACACACACACACACACACACTCGGGAGTGAGGGAAGAGGAAAAGAGGAGGGCTGTCCGCGGGGGCCGGGCTGTCATCCAAACAGCTGCGGAGGGAT